TGCAGTGGAATACTGTACAGCTGTAAAAAATAAGAGAATTAGATAGGTATGTTTTTATTTTTAGTATGGAAATATATCCATGGTATTACTAAATAAAAAAGCAAAGTATGCACAGTATGTTACCTTTAAACATAATAAAGGAAGACATATGTGTATGTAGAAAATACAAAGAGTTTAAAAATGTGGTTGGCGCCCTAGCCAGGGGGCTCAGTTGGTTGGAGCATCATCCTATGCGCCAAAAGGTTGCAGGTTCAATTCATGGTTGGGGTTGTACAGGAGGCAGCCAATCAACATTTCTCTCTCACATCAATGTTTCTCTCCCCCTTTCCCTTCTCCTTTCTCTAAATTCAATGAAAACATATCCTCAGATGAGGATTTAAAAACAATGTGGTGGCCTGTTTGGTTCAGGTGGGGATGAATGTGGTATATAAAAATTAGAATGTGAGAAAATTTTTCTCTAAAAGTTTTATATTTGTTTTATTTTGATTTTGAACGACCTCACTGTATCTATCACCTATTCTCAAACCAAAAATAAACAAAACATATATATAAAAAATGACTTTTATAAAATGAAAAGAAAAAAAAAGATGATTGTAGCCTTTTTAAGAACCTCAAGGCATTTGGGGAGATGAGCTAGCGCCTGATCTCGGAGGAATACTTCTTCAATGACTGCAACCATTTTCATAAACTTCCCTGACACATTTGTCACCAACAGTAAGGTACATGGAAGAAGCAAATAATTCCTATGCTAAATGTGGATATCCAATTAGGTATTTTCCATGCTCAACAACCTTGTTATTATTTACAATCCCTAGTCAGAATCTGTTCAGCAAGTCCACTCTATTAGGATCTCAAACTATGTTTCTGGCCTTACCTCCTACCGTTATCTATTCTTCTATCTAACAAAACTAGACAACTAATCCTTCCTCAGAAATTTTCTGATATTCCTCCATGTTTTTGTGCCTTGACACATTCACTTCCTGTCACTTGGAATGTTTCTGATCTCCCAAGTCCTAGCTTTGTCTGAAAATTACTCCAAATGTTTTCCCCAAAACTGTCCTAATTTTTCTGGTAGGATATGATCAAATGAAGCAACATCTGCAAAATTCTCTAGTTTATTGGCTGACATAACAAGAATACAAAAATGTTAGATGAATTTCTGAACCCTGATAGAATATTTCTTGTATCTTTTACGGTACCTAGAAATTTTTATTTGCATCATAATTATTAAAATAGTAATCATGCTAGATTATAAGTTTTAGATGACAAGTATTATGGGGAGGGGGTTCATACATGGAGTAGCTGGTTAAAAATATTTTAATTTCAGTTTAATTGAAACACTTGTGTCATTCAAACTTACCTGTAAACTGATACTGTATTTCATTCTGATGATAGAGTCTGGACAATGTGAGTAAGTAACGCTTTTAAATGTGACTAAATGTGGCTGTGTGGGGGAGTTCTGTGCTTTTCCCTACATGTAATGAAATCACCTTTCTTCTGGGGAAAGCATTTTCATTTCTGTTGTGTGGAGGCTCCTCTTTTCAGCTAAGAGAACATGCGTTGCAGGTACAGGTGGCGCCTCGATGCCTGAGTGGGCTGGTGACCTAGGCCTGGTCACTCAGGGTCACTCAGGGTGTCTGTGCCTGAATCAAAGATCTGCTCAGCTATGGTCATGTGACACAATTCAGTCCAAATAGATCTCAATCCGAGACCTTTGTTGTGTTACAGGAAAGGCCTTAATTTGCAACAGAGTTTGTTGAAAGGGTTGGATGTAAACCTAAAACTTTCTTGTCATTTAAGTGTGAGTTTCTACAAGAAACTGCTGATAGAAAAAAGAAAATAAGAACGAATCCTGATATTTATGTGTGATCTCCTGGATCCAGCCATGCCTGACTTTGCTCTCCTTGGAAATTTTAACTATATAAATCATTGCCTATCTCTATCATGTCGGCTAATTTTAACTCATTTTTTAACCCTTTGTAAATGAAAGTCTACTATAAACTGAAATTTAGAATATTTAGAAGTACATTTTATTTATTTATTTACTTACTTACTTACTTACTTATTTATTTTTAGCCCTCACTCTAGAGCATGCTTAGAGAAAGCAAGGGAAGGCGGGAGGGAGGGAGAAAGTAGTGGGGGCAGAGAAACATCGATGTGAAAGAAAAACATTGATTGGTTGCCCTCTCTAGGCTCCCCAACCTGGGATGGAACCCGTAACCCAGGTATGTGCCCTGACTGGGAATAGACGCAGGACACAAGTACATTTTAATGTCCAGCTATATAACAATTATTTTGTTATATATATGCTTCTGTTACTAAAAGTGTTAAATTTAGGATGATAAATGATTTTTTAAAAATATATAAAGCAATTGATTATGCTAAATATTTTCCAAGTTTATGGAAATACCAAAACTATCTGAAGATATAATACATGTAATTTTCATCTTCCACAAGAAATATGTATGTCTTTTCTGGAATACCTAGAGCAACGGGAACATCTCTTTGATGGACCCTTTATATAGGACAGTCTTAGGAATTCTGTGCTTAAATACCACAGCAGGACCAATGAGTAACAAAACACACTTCTGCCATAAAATATATCTTCCCATTTGCCTCACTTGACATGGAATTCCTCAACATTTAGCTGTTCCTGTGGATCCTGTCTGCTGGGAGACCTTAGTAGAATTCTACTTGGAGGAAGAACAGTGGCCTGGCTAAAAAATAGAGAAACAAAACGCTATGACCTTTTCCTGTGAGCATGGACAACTTTTATCAGAAGCTCTCAATGCTGAGAAATAGGATGAGTAGATCTTTAAGGACAATGGGAGTGGGATGGAATGAGCAAAGTGAGGCCTATCCCTCTGGGTACCAAGGCTGGGGTATTCTAAATTAGGGATAGAGTAGGCCACTCCAGAACAGACCCTTAAAAAAGAAGAGGAGGAATATCAATGAAAGCATGTTACCCTTCTGATTATTGCTGAGTGCTGGCCCCAAGTGGAAAAGAATGATATTCTTTTAATAAATCAGTTTTGAACTAACTCTCCAAATGAGATCCTCTGCATTGCTGTTATTTCACCAAAATGCATTTCTTATTTATTCACTTAAAATGTATAAAGGTATAGTAACCTACAGTAACTCATTTGGAATTGCTTCTTAAGACTTGGTCTGTATATTCAAGAGATAATACATTACTTGTTTTACGAGCAATTCTGAGTGTATTTTAGTTTACATGTCTATAAGTACTACTTATTGTTCTTTATGCTTTAGAATGCTAAGCTATGTTTAATTAATTCTTAATTTTACATATATCCCATAAAATGTTTTTATTTTTATTTTAATTGTTTCTGCAAGAAACCATTGTTTTACAGAGAATTTGGTTTTTAAAATTTTACATAGTCTAAAAAACTATACCGACCTTTTTTTTTTAGTACCAAATGCTTATGTGGATATTCATTTTGTTCTAATGTGTAAGTATTACATATGTTTATTCATGCAATGTTCTTTTATAATAAAATGAAATAAAGTAATAACATATCAACTCAAACTATCTGAATTACACAGCTTCTATAGATACAGAGGGTCAGAACCACAATATTGAAGGCAGATTTAAATAATGTTTTCCATTGTGAGGTAATGCAACAAATTAAAAAGCTAATCAGTATATCAAAGCAAATTCATATTACCAAGGTCTTCTTACATCCTAACAATAAAAAATGTATTGAACACCAAGTCTTAATCTGTTTTTTTGTGATCATTTTAAGTTAACAAGTAGCAAGCTTCAGTATTGACAATTGAAGAGGTCTTAAAATGGAGTGTACTAGTATGCCTAATAATTTCCTGCTAACTTGACCATATAAAAAAACACACATTTATATATGTCTTTCAATAGACGACAAGACAAGAAAATTGTTGCCACTTATCAACCCTGTAACCATTTTTAATAACACAAAAATATAGGTGTTGTGGGGGTCATCTCTTCCCCCATCCAACAGCACAATAAAAATAATATTAGAAAAGAGTGGATCATATCGGGGGCTTTTATTAAAATTCTTTCAAAAATCTACAGTCAGATTTATTTCAGGTATTTGTCTCTGAGATTAGCAACACTTTCATATTTTCTGTACATATGTTACAGCACACACAGACCTTCTCTAAAAGCAAGAAGTCAATATAAAAGTTCTTGTCAATTTATGATTAAGAAAACCTTTTTATTACTAGAGTTTTTATTTTGGAAAATCTCAAGGAAGGAAAATTATATAATTACATAAATAACAAAAGTATATCGCTAATTTGCCTCTTTCCCCAGAAGTAACCTTCGGTGAAGTCAGCTGTGACTTCTGCTTTAAACATACAGTTTTGCTTATGAAATAAAACTTGCACTCATTTCACTTACATCTTAAGTAAAATTTAGAAAAAAATACATCCAAATGTCACAGTACAGAGCTTTCTTTTGCATTTTAAACTTTGCTGATTTTTAATAGCTATTTAATAAACTACTCATTTAATGACCTACACCTTTTCAAGGGTTTCTAGTGCTAACTTTATTACAGCACTTTACAGTATCTCTCACATTGCAATCCAGATGTTATTTCTTATTGTTAAAATGCCTTTTTTCTTTCATTTGCTGGATCTCAAATAGTACATATTTTTATAAAACCAGTTAAAAATGCAAAGTTTCACATTTTCTCTAGTAATTATTTTTAAAAAGCACTTTCAAACTAAAAATATACCTTATTTTGTCTTTAATATTTTACTATGAAATCTGAGTAAAGGATCCAAGTATAATATCTCAATAAAGAAGCTGAGAATTTGACAGCTGCAAATATGAAAAGAATATTCTTGCCTGCACCAAAGGAAACAAACTTACGTTTCAATCACAGGCGAAAACATCACATTTTTGTAGAAATGTTTATATGTTCACACCAAAGCTTAGGATAATCTGTCAAATGTTTTCCAGTTTAAATTTCATGTTCAATATAAAGTTAAAACTCACTTACCTTTTCTCCGTGATGACTTGTTATTGAAACTGCCATCAACTTGTTACTGTTAATGACTCTTTCAGCAAAAACGGAAAACAGTGAAGTCACATGTCGTAAGAGTAGGCCTACGTTGGATGCTGTTTAATTTCAGAACTGAAGAAGACGAAAAAAAAGGAGGGGGTGGGGGTGAGCACAAAAACTTTTAAATAAAACCACTTCCTGCGTAGTTACGGTTAACCACACACATCGCATCATTACTCGATTTGAAGACATTGCCTTGTATAGTCAACAATATCGCTATTTTTCGATGTGATTTTCAATTTTCAAACACTACACACTTGTATAGGTATCACCAATTCTGATTTAAATGGGGAAAATGTGTAGTTAAAAATTTGGCAGGGGGAGGAGCCGGCTGCTCAGCACTGAGGGAACTTCCTCTTTCTCTGGCTCCTAGCAAGGGCTTCCAACCTAAGTCTTTACTCCCCGCGGCTGCCTTGAGCATTCTCACAGGCTGTCAGAAGCTCTGCCTGCTGACTGAGAAGCCAAGAAGCCACTCCCAGTTCCCAGACCTGGGGTCTCAGTCTCACCCATGGGTGGGCCCACAGAGGGGCTCCAGTTAATAAGGTCATGGGGTTGCAGAGGTTGCATCAGAACTTCAGCGAACACAGCCCCGGCCCTGCCATCTGGGGGGAAGGAGGGCAGTCTTCCAGCACATTGCTGTTGTGGCACTGGCTCTGGCTGTGGCTCTCGCATTGGAGTGTCCCCTCTGGCAGCTTCCGAAGCAGGTCTGAAATCTGCTGAAGAGCTTTTGGTCTGGCCCTGACCGGCTTGGCTCAGTGGATAGAGCGACGGCCTGCGGACTGAAGGGTGCCAGGTTCGATTCCAGTCAAGGGCATGTACCTTGGTTGCGGGCAGCTGATCGATGTTTCTAACTCTCTAGTCCTCTCCCTTCCTCTCTGTAAAAAATCAATAAAATATATATTTTTTTAAAA